TACATATAAAACTTCGTCTATACTCTAATAAAAAGTTCCCCAGACCAAAGAGGTCACCTTAATACCAAAAAAAAAAACAAAAAAAAACAAATTAAGATAGCTTTATTATAGTAATACAAAAACTATTGTTATTATTTCAAACTTTTTTTCTACATAAATTATACTTGTTTACCAAGTTTTTTGAGAATTGTTTTTTGACAAATCCAATTATTTTTTTAATGTCTTGTGATAGTAACATAGAGTGCTATGTTTTATAACATACAAAAAATAATGAGAAAAAAATTCATGATTATAAGAGTTTGCACGATAGTATGATTTCATTTGTACAAATTATACAAAATCATAAGATGCTATAATGTATATAGCATGAGATTTGATTGGCTAAAAGTCAGATGACTTGCATATAAAGAGAGATGTCAATATGTTTGGGCCATAAAATAGCTTGCATTTAGAGAATAAAGAACTTGCATTTATATTATAAGTCCCAACATGGGACTAGACTATTTAATTGCATTTAAAGAGAAGTTGTACTTAGAGAGGTTGCACTTATTGGGAGTTGACTGTACAATCTAATTGCCCGAAGCACAGCAAGGACTTTATTCTCTGAATACACATCTATAATAGTGTATAAAAATTGCGAATTTTAGATCAGTTAATAGTCAGCAGTCAATGTAAAGGTTTTTTTTACATACTTTATTCGTTTTAGACTTCTAATAGATTTTAATTTTAATTTATTCAAAAAAAAAAATCTAGTTATTGCTGAAATATAGATCTGTGTATAAAGCATTTGTCCAATATGCATATTTGTCTTTATTTAATACATATATAGATACCAATACGTATATATATATGTGGTGTTACATATTAAAACAATCCATTTTTTGAGATATTGTTTTATTTTATATCTATGTATAGTAAAAAAGATCCACAAAATATAAACTTAAAATTTATTTACTCAATGATTTACATATATATAAACATACTATATATATCAATATATATATATTTATTTTAAAAAAAACGCTACATAAAAACTCTGCTTAATTATTAGTAATTAAAAATTCAATCTCTTCCTCATGACTCCTCTGAGCCTCCTCCAATAAAGAAGTAAAATGTTCCTTAGTCATGACTAGCAAGGCATTAGCTGACAAGTGGTGAGAAATCAACAAATTATAAACGCCACAGGTTGATACAAGGAGAAAACCCAACGAGTGATTCTTCAAGCACCTTTAAATTTATTAGCTGTAAATCAATCCATTATTTGCTTAGCATAAGCATTCCAATTATATATCTAACCTTTACCAAGAAGATAATAGTGTTGGAGTAGTATAACCCGGTTCAGATGCAGAGTTGAATTCTTATACAAAGATAATCCATCTGCTGCCCCCAATTCTCTCCTTCAACTTTTCAAGTTCTATAGCCAGATATTCTATCCTTTGGAGATCTTCATGAAAGAGAGGTATTCGAGAACCTTTAGAAGAACTTTCAGTAAGATCAGGAGCAAAATTAACCTCAACTTGATCTCCTTGAGCATTGAAAAATTTTACTGTAGTATTCATAACATGAAAAGTAGCTACATTGGATCCTCTAATATATCTTTGTAATCAATTGATAGTTCTTAAAAATGGTGCATTTACTTGAAATGATTCCATTCTTTGATATGAAAGAAAGAAAGAAAAGATTAATCTTGAAAGTATTTATATACTTGTGGGTAACCGGTTTTCTTTAGGCTTTTCGTTTGTTTCCCCACTTATAGTTCCTATAGGAACTCTTGCTACAAGCATTATAGATGGTAAATTTATTGTTCAATTTTGCACTATGATATTGACTAAGATTATTTTTTTACAATATTTTATTATCTATAGAATAACGCTATATTATATGGCTTTGATTTTGTTTGTCTTAAGCATGAGTAATATTTAACTTTTTTAACAAATTTTCGATACGCTACAATAATTGATCCTGCTACCAAGTACATCAATTAAAATAATGAAGTACTACTTTATTATAAGAATATATTCCTTGGTTCTATTCAACAACATGTGATTCAATTTGCTTAAGGGTAGGGTTGACATAGATCATTTTTCATATGATTTACGTGGTACAATAAAATTTTACATAGAGAACAAAAATACACCCCTGATAAAACTTTTTAAACTCGTGACTAAATTTTATTAAAATTCGGTGGCACATAAAACAGGTTCTCTTCTTTATAGCCCTGGAATTCTAGAACTTGTTTTATTTTAAAAAAGTAATTTTCGCATATCATCAAATTTTCTTAGGTCAACCCAATTTTTCTTAGGTCGCACAAAAAAAAAGGTGTGAGTCGTTATTTGTGTGGATTTTGTTTTTATCGTTTTGCATTTGGGCGTTGTCAATTCATTCGGTGCCTTGTTGAATTAGCGTCACCTTTGTTGTAGCTGCCAGAACGTATAGTTTACTATATTTATTAGTTGGTTCAGTTTTCAGGTTTGTGAACTGTTATTAAAGCGTCTTTTTTTTTTTATAGGCTTGTTAAGGACGTCTTGGAGTTTTTCTTTTTCTTTTGAATGCTAGAATATATGTTACTAACTTTTTCATAGGATTTGTGGTTTTATTGGTAATATTTGGTTTCAGCTTGTGAACGTATTGCTGATATTTCCTTTCAGTTTATAGATGCAGTTAAGGGCGTCTTTGGGCTTTCCTTTCGACGTTGGTATCACTTTTCGTTTTGCGGTTGCGATTTTTCCACGATTTGTTATTTTCAATATCCAGGAAGTAGGGTTTTTTTGTTCATTGTTTTCTATTCGCTTGTTGTTTTTTTGCATTTAACTAACATTCATTTTTCTCTTTCAAGCATTGATCTAAGGTGTTCTGTAAACCTTTCGCTCCAGTTATTGGTCGTATTCCGAGAAGCACGATAAAGTATATCATTCATGCTATGTAAAGTTCTATTTTTTGGTCTTTTGTCACATCATGGACGTTGTGCTATGTAAAGTCCTATTTTTTGGTCTTTCATTGCATCATGAATGTGGTCTTAGTTCTTTCGTTGCTGTCTAATATTGACATTTTGATATCATCGATGCGATTTCGCTCTTGTTTTGTCGCGTTTGTAGTTTTGTTTTATAGCTAGTTAGTATAGCTTAGGGTTAGGGTTAGATTTGTTTATTAGAGGTTAGGGTTAGAGTTAGATTTGTTTGTTAGAGGTTAGGGTTAGAGGGTTTTATAGTTAATTGTTTTGCGGCATAAATTAATAAATTTTAAATTGTGTAACTATTACCGCATTATTACAGTATCTATAAAAATCCATGCTATAAATTATTACATTAAAATTACAACATATTATAAATTCGCGCTACGAATTATTGCAGTACTGCAATATACAGTACTATGAAAATCCACGGAAATCGATCACGTGATTAGGGCATCAAACTCCATTTCGGCGGAGTTTGAATTTTGCCATTTTCGCAGAAATGCGAAATGGCAAAAGTCACGTGATGCCGCCACTAAGGCGGACTTTAAAAATCTCCGATTTACGGAGTTACTTATTTATGATATGCTAGTCTCTGTCACAAAAAAAAGTAACATGAAATACCCCTGCTAATGTAGGAGTATTTCATGGGGCCCATTACTTTTTTTTGTGACGGAGATTAGCGTATTATAAATAGGAAGATTACACAGGTTTAATCAATGAATATCGGGTGCATACTGGGAAAAATATTTCTCGATAAGTACCCCGTCAGATCTGCCAAATACCTGCTAAATATTGCATTATATTGGAAGCATATTGGTAAAATATCAGGAGTTAGATCGATATCAGCAACATAATAGCAAAATATTGAAATACCCCGATAACATATATTTTACTATGAGTAAGTTATCAGGGTATCCCAATACTGTATTATGCTATTTTGTTACTGATATCGATCTATCTCCTGATATCTTACAAATGTGCTACCAATATACTGCTGATATTCAGCAGGTTTATGGCAATCTATGCCAGACTAACAGGTACTTTTCAGGAAAATTGTCTCCTGATATGCACCCGAAATTCATTCAAGTTGACAGTAGATCAACAGATCGAAAAGACAGATAGCGACGATCACTGGGTGATCCCGATTCCAACAAGAGAATCTGGTATATGCAAGGAGGAAGATAAGTATAAATGAAATTACTAATTTAGGAGTTTAATGGCTTGAATGCTAATATAACCAAATTTAGCAGGAACATATTACAATAGCATAAAGATATAAAAAACGGAAGAGTGGTAGGGCAGCACAACAGCAGCCCTTTCAAGAGGCAAATCAATTTCGCACCCTGCCCTACCCTCCCTCAGTAGAATCCTGCCATTTTGTGGCAGCTTAAACATCTCTTTACAGCCGGCCTGCGTTATGCAGGTGGGAGACCACCAGCTAAGATCATGTGATTACAAAGTGGCCTGCATTTATGTGGGTGGGAGACCACCGGCTAATGCCAATTATACATCAAACACACTGATGTATGCTATATATCTCTGTCAATTATACATCAAACGCACTGATGTATTCTATAACTCTTTAATAAAATTTTGAATATTCAGCACTATTAGCGCTGGAATGCATCCAATAATTATATCACATGCGTGCAGTTCTTTTCGTTGACTCAACTGTGTTAGGATGTGCGTTAATTCAGGATGCTCATGAACACTAATTTGAGACCATATAAGGTATTCTTGATTTCAAAATAATGCTCACGAGCATTATTTCAAGTGGTTACAGGTTAACTTCCTGAAGTCAATTCTACTGAAATACTATTTTACTGAAGTCATCAGTTATTAATAATTAAAATTAATGAATTTGTTATTTTAGTAAATCAGGTTGTCAATTTTTCACTTTGATGTTGTTAAAATTTTAATTTTAAACATTCATGCACTCTAAAGCTCATGAGTCTCGATACATGCATTACCTAATGCAACTTGGGTTAAATAAACAATCAAACCTGTCGTTAAAGTTTATGCCATTACCTGTTATATATATTGGAATATGTGGTTTTGAATAGCATTTTATGTTTAGGACTATTTAGAATATACTAAAGTAAAAATTTACTGCATTATATAAAATTTTTAATTGAAATAAACATACTTTAATCATACTGCTTTATGAATATCTGAAAACAAAATTAGGTTTGATTTTTTTTTGTAGTGTACGAAAATTTACTAATCATTTAGCAACTTAACAGTAACATTTATTTTCATTATTACTAATTAGCAAACTAGTATGGTTACTGAACGATTTCTGAAAGCTATTCCCGAAAGAACATTGTACTGGCTAATTATTTCCTTTCGGGAAATGGCTTTTGAGAACTATTAATTAGTACTTTTATCCATAGTATTTTATTTATCTGCAGTATTATATCAGTATCAATAAAATGTACATAAAACATTCAAATGTTTGTGTTGACTAATTATATTTTGACAGCCAAGATATATCTAAGGAATTTGAAAATATTTTGGTTGTATTTTAAAATTACAAGTCTGTAAACGTAGGTATAAGCAAAATTTTATTCTCTTTGAGAATAAAATACCGAACGAAAATTTTATGAAAATTACTTATTTTCGGTAATGTTTTAGATAATTCGGTTTTTTTTTTTTTACTAGCAGAAAGAATTCTGGAAGTGTATAAATAAAATACTTTCGCTTAAAAAATTTTTTGAATTTTTTTTATTGAAGAAAATCGATGTTGTGGGTGAACAAGTTTGTCAAATTAAAGAGGGGGTTTCACGCATCCAATCACAACTGTGAGAGGAAATTAGGGCTCCCAACAATTACACGTCTAATTGTTGCAAGTGCGGTATACACCAAAAAAGTTTTTTGTCCTGACTACTAATATTTCGAAAACCGTAATAAAAAACATTTGTTTAAATAAAATTTATGAGTGGATCAGTAGTTTATGTTGAAATAAAAAAAATATCTGTTGACAAAAAATCTACACCTAAACTCATCTTTAAATTCAGATCTATACAAAAATAATTTTTTATTAAAGACAAATGTTTTTATTTTAGGTTTTAATGTCATTTATTACACTTTAACATACTACTAAATTGCTATTTAATATACTCACATTAATATACTAAATAAAACAATTTACTTCGCATTTTAACATACCACTAATTGGCTTTTATAATAGTTAAATATACAGGTATTGATATAATATAAAATTATGCGATTTAGTGCAATTTGGTTTGATAACACTAAATCTCATAATTTCCGTGCCCATGGTTATAGCATTACGTTATTGCATTATTACAATATCTATCATATAGTAGAATGCAGTAATGCGGTAATTCAGTACTTCTAATATCATAATCAAACAATATTATAATTAAATTTTTAATTATTTATTAAATTTTAATGTAAGGACTATTTATAAGATTTTTTTTGTAGTGTACTGAGTATATTTGAAAAGATATTAAATTAGTAGATACTGAAGGCAGTACATTACAGTATGTTCCTTAGGTCAATAAATATTTTGTTATAATTCTTGATAGTGAGTAGAGTTTTGACTTAAGAACATATAGTTTTTGGTTATAAGTCAGTCTTTTAACTTTATGATCATGAAAATAAAATTTCCCTATTATATAATTACTTGTTTATTTCATTATTTAAATAACTTTCCGTTAACTATTTTAAGTTTTATATGTAATATTTGACTTTAATTTTATTATAATAAAAAAATAACGCTCTTGGGCGTTATTTTGAAAATCCGGTTCTTCAAAAATTATTTACGTATATAGTTTCGAATTAGGGCGTCCCGAATTAACGTGCATC